TTTCCTCTAAGTCTAGTCAAAAGGTAACTTTGAATTTTTTAAAAATATATTTTATTGATTTTTTACAGAGAAGAAGGGAGAGGGATAGAGAATTAGAAACATCGATCAGCTGCCTCTTGCACACCCTCTATTTGGGATGTGTCCACAACCAAGGTACATGCCCTTGACCGGAATCGAACATGGGATCCTTGAGTCCGCAGGCTGATGCGCTATCCACTGAGCCAAACCGGTTAGGGCAATAGCTTTGAATTTTTAAATGGATTGAGATCACAGCCCTCTCTATTCTCTTCATTCTTCTGTTAGAAATTTCAGTCTTTTTTTAAAAATATATTTTATTCATTTTTTACAGAGAGGAAGGGAGAGGGATAGAAAGTTAGAAACATCGATGAGAGAAACATCGATCAGCTGCCTCCTGCACACCCCCTACTGGAGATGTGCCTGCATACAAGGTAAATGCCCTTGACTGGAATCGAACCTGGGACCCTTGAGTCTGCAGGCGGACGCTCTATCCACTGAGCCAAACCGGTCAGGGCAGAAATTTCAGTCTTTATTAGGAAACTGCACACCTTCATCTTGCTTCTAATACCTAACAAATGACCAGTGGAGAGAAAGCGTGAACTTTTCAGTTTTACTGAATTGTTAGGGACTTTATTTAAAGTTCGGTAAATTCGTTGATTTCTTTTTCTTTTCCTTTTTTTTTTTCAATCCTCACCAGAGGATATTTTTTCCATTAATTTTTAGAGAGAGTGGAAGGGAGGGGGAGAGACAGAGAAACATGGATGTGAAAGAGACACATTGATTGCTTGCCTCCTGTACTTTCCCCAACCAGGGCCAGGGAACAAACCTGAAACCTAGATACATACCTTTGACCAGAATTGAACCTACAACCCTTTGGTGTGCTGGCCGACACTCCAGCCATTGGGTACACCGACCAGGGCTGATTATTTTTTTAAAACCCTCACCCGAAGACATGCTAAGAGAGGGAGGGAGGGAGGAGAGAGGAGGGAGAGAAGTTAACAGCAATATGAGAGCTAAACATGTAACAGCTGCCTTTGGTACATAGTACATGCCCTGACTGGGAATTGAGCTGGCAATCTTTCAGTCCACAGGACTACACTCAACCAATTGAGTCACTTTGGCCAGGCTGATTTTGTTTTGTTGTGATTTTCTGAAATCTCTGAAATGTTTCATGGCTGTATCCTACGTGTAAAATGAAGCATCTTTAGGGTTATGATTTGAATGAGGTAGTTCTTGGTAATAATGCTGTTGGAGCTGTGAGATTGGTTATAGGCCTGCTTGTCTGAATTTGGGAGTCAGAAGCCTTAGATGGGAGTTTTAGGAGTTCTCAGAAACTCTGAGGTTTGTGAGCTTCCCTCATTGGAGTGCAGGGTAGGGTTTCTTTGCTCTTCTGTCTGACTGGACTATTCTAGTTGATTCTGAATTATTCCTGACATGCCCAGAGGATTCAGAGCTCTAAATTAAGGGTTTGGGGACTTAGAGCAGCAATCGGAATTCTAATGACTTCCTTACTAATTTTCAGTATCCCCAGAGGGGTAAGCTATAATATCCCATGAGACTGACTTCTTTTGACAATTGATAGGGAGAACTGACCATCTAGATCCAAATGTAGAATATTTCCTTTTTCTAGTTCAGAGGAAATTCAGTTTTAATTAAGTTTAAATATAAGCTAGAAAACCATTATGTGAAAAGTAAGTATTTTATTTCCTTTCATTGAGACTTCTTTTTCTTACTTTCTTTAATGGAGATGTCACTAGGTAAAAGCTAGCTAGAGGCTTACTTTTTGCCATAAAGACACAGGTAGGGAATTTTTAAAATAACTTTGCTAGACCAAAATAATAACTTAATTCCATGCTGTACTAAGATCTAGCATTTTGCTGGAAAACATATAGGAATAGTGACTTTTCTATTCAGGCTATCAGAAAGTTAGTACACACATACACACACACAATCCCCATACCCCCCCCCACACACACACACACCCACACCCACACCTTGAAATGACCTCAGGGGCATCTTTTTAATGAGCCCAAGTAGATGTTACAAAAGCGGAGCACCAAAGCTTATGTGTTACTAGCATAGGGGCAGCTCTCAGGTTCCCTTTTGAAGCCCATTTAAGATTAAAAAAGGAAATCTGGTTTCCTACCCACAGCCGGAAAAGCCAGCAGGAACTGCTGGAGGTGGCACATGGGCATCGAGGAGAAGTGACTGTGAGGAAGCAGGAAAGACAAAATGTTCCTTCTGTGTTGTACAAAAAAGAAACAGATACCTTGTAGAAACATCTTTATCTGAAATGCTGAAATATGTGAGGTGTTCATGCTTTCTCTTAGCAGTATTACATTTCTATGCACTGGCACTCCTCTGGGGCTGCCAGGTCATTGAGAGTAATTAATAGCTGCAAGGTGGTAGCACAGTTAACTGTTATCTAAATGCCATTCCAAAAGCACTTGTGCATATGAAGCATAATAGATTTCTGTTATTTTAACAACCTCTGAAATAAGAAGAAAGAGAACTTGTAAGCTCTGGCATTAATGAGATAATAGGGCCCTTTGTAGTTAGATAGTGATTGCTAAGACTGGTGAGCTATACCTACTAGTCTTAAGATAGTTTAACCTTTTCCATATGATGATTTAACTTCTTCCAAATGCTTTCATTTCCCTTTTTCTATAGTATCCCCCCCCCCCTTTAATATCTCTCTTAGAGAAAATTCACCTCAAGCTAAAGTTTGATTTATTGGACTGTGTTATAAAGTAGCAAGACAGTAAAAAGGTTTCTAGTGTGGTTTTTTCCTTTAAAAAAATCACAGTGTCCAAGAAGAAATGGTTGTCTTCCTCTTGCAATTAAACGATTCATAGACTGTTGGATTCCTTTTGCTTCTGAAGCATGATGTACAGTTCAGTGATGATGTCCGAGGCCCTAAAACCTGTCTGTCCTCCAGTTCATGTTCCATCATTATTGTAACAACTGTGAGTCAAGTTGGTCTGAACAGGCCTCTGGTCTTAGAGGGCAGTGAGTGCCTCTTTAGTCTTTTTCATGTGGTGTTTGTGTGGTGATTAAGATCACCCATAGAAACCCATGTAGGTCCTTGTAGTGGATTTTAAATGTTTTTTGGGTGGCTCTGGCTTTGAGGAATCTATTAAAGATAATTAACTGTTGTGGAAGCAGTGAGAAAAGTGGCTAGGCAGTCATCTGGACTGTATTATATGTTCTTTCAAACTCGAGTGTTTTGACCTAATAATAGTTACATTAGTTTTTATCTATTTATGGAAACTGATAAAACTGAAGTTACTTAGGTTTGTATTGAGTCTGGGCTCATTGCAAAAACCCCCATTTGACATCAGTCTACCAATTTTCTTTTTGCTTCTGCTTGGCTTTTAGAGTTTCTTAAATTCTTGCATCTTTGACCCTGCACATTTTAAGGTTTTTCAATCTAAAGAAAAGTTGCACTTGTTAAGTATCATTGGTTTACTTTAAATCAAAACACTGACTGAAGTTAGAGTTTGGTGAAATATTAAGTTTATAAAGAATATGTTGATTTCCTCCAGTGTTGTAGCTTCTCTGCATTTTGCCAGCCTTTTAAACATGTACACAGCAGTCTAATCAGAAAAGATATGAAAAGGCTGCTTGTGGCTTTTACAGTAATTTGGAAAGATGGAAAAGTAAGCTAAAGGCCTGCCCGTATATGAGGTCATCCAATTCTCCCTTGGTGCAGAGTAGCATAAAGTACTTTCTCAATAAATATTTGTTAAGTAGTTAATGTATCTCTCTCATGTTTCTTTTAGCATTAATATAGGGAGTTACTTGTACTTTTCCCCATTATTTCCATGTGAACCAAAACAATTTATTATGCCAATACAGAAATGCCTCGAAGTATTGTATGAAAACTGCATTTAACAAAATTTATGGACATTGTTTATTTCAGTCATGTTTATTCCATTTTATTTTTGTTTTTTAAAATCCTTACTGAAGATATGTTTATTGATTTGAGAGAGAGATGGGAGAGAGAGAGAAAAACATCTATCTGTTGACTCCCGTATATACCCCAACCGGAGATTGAACTCACAACCTTTTGGTGTACAGAACAACTACCAACTGAGCCACCTGGCCAGTATTGTACATTAAAAAGTATTTTGGGGCTACAGATATCTTTTTCTTTTTAGAGACACATGCCCAAAATAACATTGCCTATTTTTCTAATTTATTTTATTTTATTTTTTTAAAATATATTTTATTGATTTTTTAGAGAGAGGAAGGGAGAGGGATAGAGAGTTAGAAACATCGATGAGAGAGAAACATAGATCAGCTGCCTCCTGCACACTCCCCACTGGGGATGTGCCCGCAACCAAGGTACATGCCCTTGACCAGAATCGAACCCGGGACCCTTCAGTCCGCAGGCCAACGCTCTATCCAGTGAGCCAAACCAGTTAGGGCTAATTTATTTTTAAAAGTACTTGTGATACCTCTGAGTTTACAAGTCGTTTTTTAACTTTGCCACGCTCTGAGACAACATGACACGATTGGCATCCTTACTAGAAATCTTCCTTGTGTGATACCTGGCAGCATTGGCATGGTAAACAGTAGCTGCAGATGTATTAGGAAAGTGACCTATGTATATGCTTGGATCTTACTGTCTCTTTTCTTCAAGTTTCAGTCATTGCTGTTGAGGTTAAGTGTGAGATGAAGTAATTGCTACTTGCATTTCATTCTTTTGTTAGGAAGTTTGGAGAGTGAGACCCCTGACTTCATGGGTTTTAAAAGAAAGCATTCAAGTTCTTTCTAGTTAGAGTCCTTGATAACTTTAAGAACTGGAAATTTAATGTTTATTGAATGCTTTGATGTCAGTGTATAGTCATCTTAAAGCTGTATTAAAATGTATTTCTTGTGTCTCTCTAAACATCCTGCCTTCTTTTGTGACCACATCCTTCTCTCAGCCAAAATAACACACTAACTAAATTTCAATATTCAATATCCTTCTCTGGCAGATGTTTTCTGGCAAAGGCCTTCCTGCGTTTATGAATTCTCTCAAGAAGCAAGAGAACACCTGCAGGAAGTGAATCAAGATGCAGAACACAGAGGAATAATCACCTACTTCAACAAAATAAAGTACTGTTGAAAAAGATCATGTCTCTCTCTTTGTTCCTAGGTGTTAAATTTTAGTAGTTAATGCAGAATTCTGTAATCATGGAATCATTAGTGTTTAATGTTTGAAAAAGCTCTCGCAATCAAGTCTGTGATGTATTAATAATGCCTTATCTATGGTTTGTAGTCATTTTAAATAGCATGAGCCTTGTCCCTGTAGTCACTAGGGGGCAATCTTGCTTTATTCATCCTCCATCTCAAAATGACTTTGGCATAAAATATTTTAGTGTAAGATAAAGTGTAATGCTGGCTATTTTAAAGGGGTTTTCTCAAAAGTTAAAAATTTGTTATGACTGCATTCATTTCTGCACATAATTCATATTTACTGTGAAAATTAATCTAGAAATTGATGCAATTGTATTGTGAACACCTGAAAGCAAAACCATAGTGCAAATACATTTGAGATTTGGTCAAGAATATGTTTTTAATTGGAAAGTAATAAGCATTAATTTTTTTATAGTTTGTATTCTAAATTTTGCAGTACCTGTTGTTCTTTGTTGTGTGCCTAAGGGATTGTAAGTGTGTTGTCACTGTATAGAATAGAAAGGACAGGGACAAATACAGCTTAATTACTAAAATGCAATTCTGGACACTTTCTGTATGTTTAGAGTCTCCCTATCCCTTCTTTGTCTTTTTCTCTTATCTCCTGATGATGATTAGGCGAAGGGCTAGGAGTAGGGAGGGGATTAGTTACTAGGAGCAAAGGATTTGCTTAGAACTTTTGAGATGATCCCTAACATACTGTATGTACTACTTGCTTTTACAATGTGTTAGCAGAAGCTGATGTGTTATAAGTGTAGAATGATGTGCTTTCTGCCAAGTGGTTATTCACCTTGGTTTGCTATGTTAAAACTGTAAATACAACAGAACATTAATAAATGTCTCTTGTGTAGCAAATTTGTTGTAGATTAGTGTTTAATTTTTTGGTTTGCATTTGTTGATTGCGAAGGCAATTTTTCTAATCTTCATTCATATAGATTTCATACAGAATAATTCAATAAATATAAACAAATTGGTCTTGGGCCAATTTTTTTCTTTTTCAGTACAGGAAGTTCCCTTCTTTCAGATCATACTCAAATCATTCCTAAAAATATGTGAAAGTTGGTTCTGCAAAAGATAGTGGACTGAAATAGGAAGGAGTTGTAGAGATTTTAAATCACCCTGCCATTCCCAATTATGTTTCATTTTTTAGACATAATCTTAGATAATTTATTCTCAATATTTCTGCATGTTCCCTGCATTTGCCTTTTTTCTCAATTGAACACAGCCTACTGGTTTAAGTGCTATGACCTATGAGCACCCAGTTGAGGCAAAAGATTTCTTGTTCCTCTTGATTTCTATTCTTACCTCAGTTGTGTTAAATGTAGAGATAATGGTTCTTACAATGTCAACCATTTGATTTTTTTCCTTCTTCCACTTACTCAAATAAAACAAAGGAAAAAAATGCAGCAAAATGGTCAAATAATGACAAAATAGCACTGGCGTGGTGTATAGCTGTGCATGTTCGTTCTCTGCCGCGGGTGAGCACTGGGATCAGCATGGGATGTCTGTTCAAGGGTGTCAGTGATTAATGCACAGACCTACAGGTGGTTTGAAAGCCAAACAGGGAAATTGAGAGCCTCCTAGATTGATTGACAAGGCAATGATCATCCTAATTTACTGATTATTGTAAGTAATAGGATAGTATGTTCTTGTTCAAAAGTTCTGTTTTGCTGTAGGTAAGTAGGGGCTTCATGAAAGTCTCCTTAACGATTTTTTTTTATTTTGAATTAGATTATATCAACAATAGTTTGGAAGAGTATGTAGCTTATAATGTTCTAAATTTCAGAATGCTGTATCTCTAACAATCTGAATAAATGTGGACATATGCAACAGAGGGAACTACTTAATTACCTTACAGGACAAAATAGAAGGGCCCTAACTCATGTTACTCAGACACTGTGGACTTGCTTTGTTTCATCTTTAGGTCCCTGTGCCTTAGTGAGTTCTGTATATTCAGAGAATTGAAATATTTGCATTCCTATTTCTACATATTTGGTTTGTAAGACTTAGTCAAATGTAAATCTACAGTTTGATATGCTTTAAAAATATTTAGGAGGATGATTTTTTTTCCCTTTAAATGTTCTAAAAATTAAAGTCCAGATGCATAAAGTTGGTACCCTATGTCACTTATAGTCCTCATTATTCAGGGTGGAAATGTTTATACTGCACACTTTTCATTTTTTCTTTCTCATTCTTTTCTGTCTCCTTTTGGTATGCTTATTATTAAGAATAACCCTTTCAGCCCGGCTTGCGTGGCTCAGTGGTTGAGCTTTGATCTATGAACCAGGAGGTTATGATTCGAATCCTGGCCAGGGCACATGCCTCGGCTGGATCCCTAGTGTGGGTGTGCAGGAGGCAGCCAGTCAATGATTCTTTCTCAATGTTTCTATCTCTCCCTTCCTCTTTGAAAGCAATAAAAAAATATATTTTTAAATAATTTTTTCAGAAAAAATGGACCTTTAAAATAAATTGTATGAAAGGAGATATTGAGGAACCATGGTATGAAATAAACTAGCTTTGTCCCTGGGCTAAGGGACAATGATGGCTCACCAATGACCACAGAGGACTCCTAGGTTTCTTACTTGTTACCATTTGGAATCATACAACTATGTTTAAAGGATTCTGCATAGCCATTTCATTTTTTTTTTTTCAGAGAATTAGATTGTGTGAGAATTAAAGGTGTTATTAAAATTGACTTGTTAAGAAATGTTAAGGATGAATATCTTTACTAATGGGATTAATTTCATTCAGAAGTTTAAAGAAACAACAAGATTTTTAGCTTGGCATTCTTGGTGAGTATGTTATCTGACTTGAGGGTGATCCATCATGAGTCAATAGTAACACAGATGAAGTTCCTTTTGGCCTTCTCTATATTCTTATAGTAGGATATATTCCAGTTAGCTATAGATTATTTATATTTAAAGGAAGAAAGAGCCCTGGACAGAGTGGCTTGGTTGGTTGGAGTATTGTCCCTCCCGTACACCAAAAAGTGGCAGGTTCATCTCCTGGGCAGGGCACATACCTAGGTTTCAGGTTCAATCCCTGGTTGGGGTGTATACGGGAGGCAACTGGTCAATGTTTCTCACATTGATGTTTCTTATCGATCTTTCTCAAATCAATATAAATAAATAAAGGAAATAACTAATGAAAGGGAGTTTCAGGACTAAAGAAGTGATCATTTAAATGGGTGCCTGAGGTGGCAAGATTCTCAGGTGAAGATCAACAAAAACAGCTGTGAATGGAGCGCTGGCCTCAGCTTTGAATCCAGCCCCGCCCCCTCTTCCTGATGTCTGACCCCCTTAAGAGTTGGCATGGTAGATACTGAAAAATCACTTGGCTCTGATTCTAGTAAATACCAATAATCAACTCTTAGACATGCCAAGAATAGACACAGAACTATACGTTTATATAAAGTGTAAAGGAGTGTTTTATGAAAGAAAACATAATTATCACCTACCTCAACAATACATTCAGGTAAGTCATGTTCAAGATGTAGTTTAATGATTTTCAGATTCTGCTGGTGTTTTCAACTACTTAGATTTTCATCTTTTCAGGCTTTCTGAAGATTTGAGGGATGATGAGAGTTGTAACAAAATGCAAAATACGTTTCCATTGATGCTTTGTGCATTGTTAAAAATTTGTTCTGCACATTGTTAAGCCTAAATATTTATAGCCTGTAAGTTAGGTAGATTGAGAGCGTTTGTTAAACCAAAACAAAAGTACCCTTGGTTTAGCTTTCCCTTTTGTGTTCTCCTATGTACTTGTGTAGATGTGTATAGTTGCACTCATTTAGAGCACCCTCCAAAAGTGCTCTTTGATAGGTAGCCTCTGAATATTGGTGGTTTGTAGGCTCTGCTACAAAGTGAAGGACGTGTCAAAGAAATAGACCAGGGAGACTATGTTTAGGTTGAGAGTAAAACGTTTTCAGGAGGAAAAGATAGTGACAGAAGCTGGTTTGCATCATCCCCATTCTAAAACAAGGCTGTTTTATAACCCAGCTCATTATATCACCTACAACTTTATGGCTATAGATGCCTGCTCTTACGGAATATGAATGGAGAGCTGTCCCCCTGTCTATAACATTTGAAATGCTCCATCTACTGCGTGGCATTTCGATCCCCCGAACCCTCCAGTTAGCCTCAGAATTCATCACTTGCAGAATAGAGAGATTATTCAAGTTTTGGTTTGATACCTATTTTTACTTAAAAGTCTTTTTCTTTTCTTTACCAAAAAGCATCTTTCCTGATTTTGAGTTTTCATTCTTACATTCATCAGTTGGTGAATTAGTAAGAGGTAAACCTAAATGCAAACAAATCCCTTAAACCTGAATAGAGAAAAAATGAAATATAAAGAAGTCTCTTGCATGTCTGCATGGATCAGAAACTGAGATGCAATTGTGTGAAATAGACATCTCCCAACCTGGCTTTGTGTGTTGTTCATCCTGCTCCAAAAGTAGTTCTTACTAGTGTCCCGGGTGGGGTCCAGCCAGCCCGCCCCAATGGGGGCCCATCGGGCGGCTGGCTGGGGAGAGGGGCCCCGGGCAGTTGGCCGGCCACCCTCACCCCCGATTAGGGTGGGGGGGCTGATAGGGTGCAGGGCCAGCCAGGGGGAGGGGCCATGGGTGGTTGGCCAGACAGGCCTGCCCCCGATTGGGTGATGGGGGGCAGGGTTGGCCAGGGGGAGGGGCTGTGGGCAGTTGGCAGCCGGCTCTGCCCCCGATCAGGGTGTTGGGGGCTGATCGGGGCAGGGCTGACTGGGGTGGGGGGTCGATTAGGGCCTGGATCATGCTGGTTGGCTGCCACAGTGTGCATCATAGCCACTGGTCGTTTTGCCATTCCTGTCGCTGGGCTTATATATATAGATGTGGGAAATGAAATGTCTCGCAAACTTTCCCCCTGTCCATATGTGATTGCAGGTTTATAGACACCAAAACTGAGAAAAGTGGTTTCCTTTAAATCAGCGGTTCTCAACCTGTGGGTCGCGACCCCTTTGGGGGTCGAACGACCCTTTCACAGGGGTCACCTAAGACCATCGGAAAACACATATATAATTACATATTGTTTTTGTGATTAATCACTATGCTTTAATTATGTTCAATTTGTAACAATGAAATTGGGGGTCACCACAACATGAGGAACTGTATTAAAGGGTCGCGGCATTAGGAAGGTTGAGAACCACTGCTTTAAATCTTACAAAGAATAGTGCTGGAGGTCTGAGGAGAAGGCAGCAGTCATTGTTATTCATTAGCTGTCTGGAAGGTTCATGAGTGGTATACGCTGTCTGGGAAATAAGAAGTTGGGTCAAAAACCTAAAAGGAATCTCAAATAGAGAAGATGATTTCTTGACATGAAACATTATCAGCCAAACTGTGGAACTAAAGAATGTGCTGCCTCTGCCTCTGAAACCCAGCCTGACTCCTGGAATTCACCCTGAGCGGCAGTGGTTTTCACCTTGCCTTTAGAGTTTGCATTCGTGTCCCCGCTACGAGCTGCTTCCCCCATGTAAGCCAGCTACTTCCCGAGCCAAGTAGAGCGCATCGGAGCACCTATCATCATAACTCGGCTAAAGTCACACTTGGTGAAACATCCTTTTCATGTGCACAACCTTCAGAAATGCCTGAAATATTCCCTTTAAATGAGGTTTTAGAAAGAATTTTGCCAGCTGCTTGCTGATGCCACATCTTTTTTTTGACAACATCTCACAGGCTGCATGTCAGTCACCGGGTTTAGATGTCATTTGAGTATGTTTTCTACCCTGTGGTTATCGACACTGAAGCTGTTTACATCCGTGAGTTATTTCCAGGTTACGTTTTAACTGGGATTGCAGATAAATTAGTAAGCAAGCCACCGGGTGGA